CCTAAATCACTCGTACCCGCAATTTAAGAACAAATCTGTGCGTACAAACGGTTCTTGCATGAGGCCCATTAATCCTGTGAATGCTCATAAAGCATTCTCATTACTGAGATCCAGTTTTCTTCCAGACACCATTAGGCATGCAACTTCTTCTGCAACTTTCATATGCTAGTTCAAGCTTTTTATACCCCATTTAGTTTTTTTAAGGACTTTACTGTTTAACTGTTTTTCTGCTAATTAGTTTTTTTTAGCTAATTTCACCTTCTTGTGTTCATTTTTAACTATTTTCTGCTTAATTCAGCAAACACGGCCTTTTGTTTTTTTCAGCTTCCTTTTGCATTTTCACAGGAAATGCAGTTTGCTATGTTAAGAAATGAAGCCTCTTAGGTTCAATACAATTGTTGCATTCATCAGTTTTTACAAATGATTCTATTCAACAGACATTTTTGGAAGACACTAAAGGTTTATAAAAAGGTTTTGATTAATATCTGTTGTGTATTTCTTTATGTTTAGATGTTTACCTTGCAATCCCTGCAGGATCTCAATGCGCTTTGCTCTCAGACTGTTGATCTCAGCAGAAAACTAAAAACCAAAAATCAAACGGCTGATGTTAATCTACGGTCAGAACACTTATGTGGAGCAGAAACTTGGTTTATAATGTGACACCTGCTGTCTCAGGAGCAGAAGTCTTTGGACATCTGCGTATGCTGCTTGCAGGGCGTTGCGGGCCTCGATCAGAGATACGTCCAAATCCTCCAACGAACGACTCAACTCGTCTTCCTTCAGCGAGACGGCCAACAGCTGGTCCATTCGACTCTGGTCTGCGGATAAAAACGAGACATTTGGAAATTCTTACAGACACTTGGTTCTGAGCAAACTGAAATGCTAAAACTCAATCGTATGTTACTAAAATAAAAAGAATTACCCTTGTTTGACGTGGTTTTTGTCTTTTTCCCATCTGAAACACCATCACCCTGCAAGAACACACAAAGACGAAAGATTAAACTGGACTCTGCAGCGAAGCTCTGACCGTGTAAAAAACTAAAAACTCACTGTCGTCTTTCTACATTTCCTTTTGCCGGTGCTAATATCCGTTTCCCTCGTGCGTCCCGTCTCGTCCTCCGCGTTTGGTTCTTTTTTAACGCAAACCTTTTCGACCAGCTGGTAGCTGCGGGGCGCCTGGACCCGAGGAAGCATCCATGACGTGTCGGCGTCACTCGGAGGAGGCGGGGCTTGAGGAGCGTCTGAAACCGACGCCCAGTGGAAACCCTCCGACAGAGAGGGATGGGCGTTGGGTGAAGCGGGTTCGTTGCAGGTGGAAAGGCTGACCAGCCCGGTCTTGAACCTGTAAGAATAAAAATAAAACATAAACGTGTAAAAAGTGAAACCAAACTAACGTCATAGTGGAGTCCTCACTTGTCTTTAACGTTCTTCCTTTTCCTCTGGCTGTGCGCCATCTTCTTGTTTAATTGGCTCCTGGTTTCTGACGAGTTGAGCAACTTGTCCAGAACCGGTTTACGCGGCGTGAACTTCTCCCCCTGAGCTGCTTTGTGGGCGATTCTGACTTTACGAGGGGGGTTCAAGTTGGGCTCAAAGGCTGGACTCTTGAGAGAACTTGATGCGTCTTTGGCCACCAGAGCTTCTCCTTCCTTCTTCACTCGTCCCTCTGCTGCCGAACTCTTGAAGAGCTGACTCGTCTGTTTGGATTCACCAGGAGCGGTGCCGGGCGGAGCAGCGGAGGTGCCCGCCTGCGGGGCAGCAGCGTCGGCCGACTGCTCCGCCGTCTGCAGCGCTCCGCTCCCATCAGCTCCCCCGCCGGCCTCGCTGCTCTGCTTCCGGGCTTCTCGGTCCGCTCGGCACGGCTCCCGCACTCCGAGCTCTTTCCTGATCTGCTTCAGCATGGCGCTGATGTCCTTCTCTCGGATAGGAGCGGCGCTGGCGGGCGCGCTCATCGGAGCAGGTGGAGCAGAGCGGCTCGAACCTTCCTGCTGAGAGGACTCCATGTTTGTGCTCTGGTTGCCATCAAACAGGATCGCTCCGTCGTCAGGGAGGCAGTCACTGGTGAAGGCGTTACCTGCATACTGGGTGTTGTAGTTATACTGGCTGACTGCAGGCAACGCGTTCGGTGGGGGAGAGTTAAATCTGTAATTTTGGGCGTTTCTGTAACTGAACTGGTTGTTGCCAAACGGAGAATGAAACCTCGGGTGGTGAGCTGGTGGGGCGAACTGAGCCTGACAGTACTGAGGAGGATGACCCCCAAACGGTCCACTGTCATAATGTGGTCTCCAGCCTGCATTGTGAAAAGGTGCTCCGCTGTAGTCATGAGGTTGTTGCACTCTAGATATTTTGTTCTCTTTGTTTTGAACAACAACACTGCTCTGAGCTTTCTGACTCTGTTGCGACGTCCTCGTCTGTTTTTGTGTGAAATTCCCCTGCGTCGCTTCTTGGTGCACCAAAGTATTTGTCCTGGTGCCATTGGGCTGCATCGAGTGCCGCTGCGCAGCTTCCTGCTTCTGTTTCTTCGTTTGTTTATTCTTAGTTTTCTTCCTACAAATGCAAATAAAAACACATGAAACTGGGCTTAAAAAAACTGTGTTTTTTTCTAAATGTCAAGACATTTAAAGCTCTTACTGCTCTCTCTTCAGTTCTCTGTTTCTGTCCAGGATTTTGGTGATGGCCTTGGCGCTCAGACTATACGACAGGGGGGCAGGCTTGACATTTTTGGTCCTCAAGTTCTCAAAATTTTTTATGTGTGGAGTCATTAGGAGGTGACTGGCAAACTCATTTAAACAAAAAAATTTCTTCTTGCATGCCTGGCAATTATGGACGGCATCCCTGTTTGTACAAACAAAACAACAAGTCAAATCGCAGCATGTCATCTCATGGACTACAAACCGGTCGTAGTTTTTCTGATACTCACTTGCCCAGCACTATCCGCAGCATCCTGTGATGCTGCAGGCAATGCATATGCTCCAGTGCCTCCTGCAATGAAAACACACAAGGTTAAGATCACAACTTGTTTAAGTAGGAGGGGAAACGTTTAATATGAATCTACATTTCAGCAAACTACAACATATTAGTAAAGTCATTTACATTTGTAAAATAATGGCGGCGACACACAATACAGAATGTTTCTTTAAATTTGGGGTTCTTGGGAGCTTTATTCTTCACAGCTGCTTTAGGCACCTTCTCTTGTGACTGAACGGCTGCCATGTCTGGAAAAAAATGACAGAACACATTTTGTAACTGATGGAAGCAACTTAAGTCAAACATTTCAATCAAGTCTAAAATAAAATCAGCGCGATAATGTCAGGCTGAGATGAAGCGCTTACTGCAGGGATGTAAAGGTTTAAAGTTCGTTTCACGGTATCGTTGACTAAATTTTAAACTATAATCCGTTCAACAGAGTCAGTATGGTTTAAACGAGCTACGCACATACGACATACGTCACAGATAATTCAATTAAAGCTTAAAATATCACAAACATCTTAAAACTTCACATGGCAACAAGACCTCACTGTTTTTTACACCGCCATGTTTGATCACGTATGTTACGTACAGTTACGTAAGTTCGTTTAAAAATGACGCCGGAAGTTTTCAGTGCAAAAATAGATCTAAAAAAGTGGGGATGAGGTAAAACGTATATGCTTTTACATGAACTCTAACCATTAAGATGTTCTACAGATCTTATAAGCTTCGAGGAACCGCTCAAGTCAGGGGTTTTACTGATTAGCCAAATGCTAACAATTTTTCACCTTTACAACTTGCTTTTCTCCCTTTATTTAAAATAGTTCTTAAGTAAAAATGTGTTCCGGCTGTGTGCATAAAGAGTACCCGGACCGGGTAGGTTACGGTAGATATTCCACTATTAGTTTCTTCTTAAAATACGAGATATTTTGGGAAGCTGCTAGCAGGTTCACACCCATTTATTTAATTTTATTTTATTTTTAACATTTCGCCCCTTGTTTATTTCTTGTTCAGGGCAACACTTGTCTGGAAAACGGCTCCTATCTGATGAACTACCGGGGCTGTGCAAACTGCCATCAGAAGGACTTCGTGTTGATCAACAATAAAGCCAGCAACGATGATGATGGGGAGGAAATAGTCACCTATGACCGTGAGTCTCCATGGTTATCATTCATTAGCCTCTGGACACAAAACTAGAAAACCTCAGGTCTAGAGTTTAATCAGTGTGGTTAATTGCAAAATGAGCACAAATGTCTTACGAAGTTGTGCAAGAAGCTGCATCCAGGTACCCAAAAGTGGTTTGAAAGTTCCAGGCAGCAGCATGTCAGTAGTTTAGTTTCTTTGTAATTCCTTTTGAGCACTTAGAAGAACAATCTATGTTTTTCTAGATGTCTGCAAAAACTGCGACCACATCATCGCCAGACACGAGTACACGTTCTCAGTAGTTGACGAATATCAGGTAAGTGATATCTGGTTTATTTGCTACGTCTAAGTGAGTCCTGACGTGTCCTGCAGTTCTGTGTTGTGTTGTCCAGGAGTACACGATGCTCTGCATGCTGTGTGGAAAGGCTGAGGACTCCATCAGCGTGCTACCTGATGACCCCAGACAGTCTGCACCTCTTTTCTAGACCTCACAAAACCCCAAAGCTGCAGGTTTAACACTGACTACATCAGAACGGGCATCCAGGACCTCCACCACCCATTATAAACCATTCATGTTACAGGATCATGAAATACCATGGCATAATTTGTGATTATAGCTTTAAAAGTGGCAGCTGTGCAGAAATTATAGTTTTTTTTTAAACAAATCTTCTTAATGTTTAAAGAAATGACCAGATATTTCAATTGATATAAATTGTAAATAAACATTTTAACTATTAAATCTTTGTTTTGTTTTTTTCACAACAAAAATGTTGTGTAGTTGTAGAACTTATATTCTAGCTAATATATTCAAGCATCAACTTAATTTGTTCAAGCACAACAAACAAAATGTTAAGATGTTTACCAATCAAGAGCAGCAATTTAAATGCTTCCAAAGGAAATAATATATTTAAGTCTTTGAAAGTTTGCACAAAAATCTGCATTGCACCATATTTCTGTCAGGGATTTTACCTGGAACACAGCAGCACTTAAATCTGCTAGTTTCGAGTCACCGGCTTCACATTAGACTCTATTTTGTTACACAGGTAATTTTTATGACTGCTCAGTGGGTTCAAAGTGCAAAACAAGCCCAAATCATAACCTCTCCTCCACCGTGCTTGTTAACTGAGGCATAAAGTTCTTGCATCTTGACTCCTTCCTTCCAAACAAGCCCTATAGTCTTTAGCCCATAAATTCTGAATAAACTAAACCAAATCTCATAAAAAAAAAGAGGAATATCAATTAAAAAATAAAAAAAGGATTATGGTTTGTGACAAGTCTTCTGGAAACAAAATTTCTGTGGTTAAAGAGGACAGCCCAAAAGATCGTTCATCTGCTTTTATTGAAACAGATTTAGTTGCTCTGATCCCACGTTTTCCAGTTAAACGGCGTCTTTCTCTGACGTTCAGTCCCCTGCTCCGTCAGCAGCGTTTCTTGCTGCGTCTGTCACAGAGGGAACCGTCCAGAATCAGATCAATCCGACACTCGCCCTGCTTTTTCCGAGAGACAATAAAAATGCAAGTCATCGCTGGTCTACGTTGTGATGTATTTTGATCGTAAGCAGCTCAATTAAAAATGCATACAGATGCTTCAGCTGAACATACAAAAAAAAGAAATAAAAAAATAAACAACAGCAAGACTATCCATGCATGCCTACAACAGTTAAATATGAGTGCACTTAAAATGTACATTCTAATATGCTGATAGTGGCAACGATTTTTCTAGTAAAGTAAAAGCACACAGCGACACTAACATGTTGAAATGAGCAGCTCGTTAAATATCACATCATTAAATTAACAGATATGGGATGCATGCTTCGACTTTATACATGAATGTTTTTTGTTTACAACTTCTTTACTAATATATAGTGTTTTTCGATTAAATACAAGATTTCATAGTTAGTGTTTACCATTTTCCTGATAGTACAATATCTACAGTTTACAATTTTTTTACATCCCTCAAGATTTACACTTGATTTTGTTTTGGTCTCGTTAGGACTACATGGAGTTTTAGTGGAGGAATGAAATGAGAGGTAAATGTTGGCAAGCTCTAGTGTCTCTCAACATTATTCCACATTCAAACAAATCAATTTAATAAATACAACTTATCATACATTTTACATTACATACAGTACATTCCCTTTGAGTAATACCATATTTACACATGCTATCAGGGACTGGCGGTGAGGCGGCCCCTCTCCACAGCTGCGCCATCAGTCAGGTTTTCTATCGAGTCAGTTTTCCTTTACCCTCGAGGAGCAGACCTTTCCCTCTGGAGCCGAAGCTCCACTGACCCGGTTCTGTGGTTCTGGACTGAGGCGGAGGGTGCCGAGGAGGAGGGGAGCCGGAGAGGCTGGAAGGCGAGCGGCTGCGCCCCTGCAGCGCTGCGTTGTCCCGGGCCTCCTGTCGGGACGGGGAGGAGCTCAGGGAGCGCTGGAGGGAGGAGGAGGAGCTGCGGGGGCGAGGAGGGGGGCTGAGGAGCAGCCCGCCGCGGTCCTGCATCAGCTGCGTCAGGCTGGCCAGGAAGTCGGCGTCGCTGGTGCTGCTGGCACGCACCCGCAACCGCCGCCGCCTGGGGAGCAGAGAAGAGGAGGGAAATCTGAACGGAAGTTCTTCGATTTGTGACTGACACAAACACAAACACACCGCAGAAACATGTCTGCCGTATCAAAGTGTTTTAAAACGTATTAAACAGCTCAGCAGCTTCCTCCAACCTATGCAGTTCAGGTGTTTCTCCTGTAGTGATTCAATTTAATTACACATTTAAAATCCAAACACTGCTAACTCTTAAAGCCAGCTCGGCTGAGCAACGCATTTAAGTGGAAGTTTCTCCAGGACAGCGATAAGACAAACAGATTAAAGAACAATCCATTACTGTGGAGGACGAGAAACGTGTTTTTCCTACTTTTAGAGCTGTTGCAACCATGATGTCCTACCATCTCAACACATAACCCTCTGAACCCACTCGTAGGTTTTTCCTTTCAGATTTAGCTGTGCTAACGTTCTCAGTGCAAGGAATAAGACTGGAATCATCTGGAAAGTGAGTTTAAAAATGCTGGCTCAATACGTTTGTTTAGGAGAATGATAAAAGTTAGATTGTTGAAGAAATGTGAATTTGTATAATGTGCATAAGAGCTGTTGTTCGAGAAGGAGTTGAAGTTTTTGGTTATGTTTTGTTTATTTCAAGATTATAATTGTTTGATTTTTTTTTTTTTTTTGGAAAAAGGGGCAGATGTAAAGATTTTTTCTTCTTTCTGCTACATTTTATTTTATTTGTGATTTGTATTATTTGTTGTACGTATAGTATTTGTTTTGTTTTTAAATGAAATGAATAGATTTACTAAACTAAAATAACTAAATTAAATAAACTAAAATAAATAACTAACCTAACCTAAACTAAATAAACTAAACTAAACTAACCTAAACTAAATAAACTAAACTAACTTAAACTAAACTAAATAAACTAAACTGAATGAACCCAAACTCAACTAAACTAAAACTAAACTAAATAAACCAAATTAACCTAACCTAATTAAACTAAACTAACTTAACCTAAACTAAACTAAATAAACTAAACTAAC